CGCTGACAAGAGACAGTGATTGGGGGTTGAGGTTGGGTCAAGGATTGCCTCCCATTTCAGCTCAGCTGCAGCGGGCAGGGTTTCCATTTTTGTTCCCATTACCAAATAAAATGCACCCTGCTGTTAGAGATGACATCAGGGAGAAAACACATTAATAGGAAGGGCTAACTTTTTAAGCAGCTGTCTGGGTGGCGGTACTTTGTAATTGTGTTGGTCAGACATCTGTCACTATTATTACACACATTTTGGAGCTCCTAACACAATGCATGTTGTATGTAAAAAAGTCATGTAGATGACATGCTAGGCTCACTTTGTTTGGTCATTACCTTGAACATATACTCCAACAACAACAACTATTCTTCAAAATTTAATAAGAGTCTAATAGGAGATAGGTGTTTAATACACCTGTATACAGAACAGAACACTGTATACAGTGTGTGTGTGTGTGTGTGTGTGTGTGTGTGTGTGTGTGACTTAATAGGAATCTGATTTTTATCTGTTTCATATGTTACATCATTTCCATTTATTTCAGAAGCTGTTTTGCTTTTTTTTGGGTTACACAGTCCAAATGCATCAACAAAGACATTCACTGGAGCCTTATCTGTTTTGCTGTTACACCACAGACTTCCAGAGCAAAGAAGCTCTCATACTATCTTCTAAAAATGTGTTTTATTCCTGAAAATAACACCAGCATTTTAACAAGTATTATACATGAAAAATAAGTTTGAGTTCAGACTCCACCCTGTCCTTTGCTGTCTTCTCCAGGGACCACAGTGATGACAATGACGGCGTTCGATGCAGACGACCCCGCCACAGATAATGCTGCGTTGCGCTACAACATCGTCAGGCAGTCACCAGATAAACCGTCCCCAAACATGTTCTACATCGATGCAGAAAGAGGCGACATTGTCACCGTTATCTCCCCCACGTTACTTGACAGAGAGGTGGGTTAACCTGGCAAACGTGTGTGTGTGTGTGTGTGTGTGTGTGTGTGTGTGTGTGTGTGTGTGTGTGTGAAACTCTGCTAAGTGTTGATCGTTTCCCATGTGGAACAGAGTGCAGGTTTCCTGTCACAAGCCTTATTTTTGTCACTGGCATATCTGAGATGCAGTTTGTTGTTGTACAACTTCCCTTTCTCAACATGTCACTAATATCGCCCGTGTGTGTCTGTGTGTGTGTGTGTGTGTGTGTGTGTGTGTGTGTGTGTGTGTGTGTGTGTGTGTGTGTGTATGTGTGCCTTTGTATTACTTACATCATGAGGACCAAACCTGTTGCCACACTCACACTGTGGGGACTCGGCCATCATTGTGGGGACCAGAAGCTAGTCCCCACAAGGAAATCACTGAATTTTAGGGTGGCAACATGGTTTAGGGTTAGGATGAGGTTAGGTTAAGTGTTAGGGTCAGACTTAGGTGTTAGGCAAGTAGTGGTTATGGTTAAGGTTAGGATAAGTCTACACGAAATTAATGTGAGTCAATGTAAAGTCCCCACAAGGAATGAAAACACAGCATATGTGTGTGTGCGTGCGTGCGTGTGTGCTGTATGCCACCTACAGATATTGGTGTTTGTCCTTGTGAGAATGAGCACTGGTGCACTGTAGCAGGCCGACACAGAAGCCAGATGAGCGTCTCTCCATTTCCACGTCTAACCAGAGCGAGACAACGGGATGATTGCTTTTTCAGCAGGGTGACAAATGCCAGAACATTGATTAGGTTCGCTGGTGGAAGAGGAATATTAGCTGTTGTCAGACACTTAGCGCATAGTTTAATTGAGGTGATACACACTTATTCGCCGGCTCTGGCGATGTCCAACACGGCCGGCTGAAAACCTCCCAACTGGAACTGCTGGAACCATGGTGGCTAACCACCCTGATGAGCCACTCCACGAGCTACAGTAAACTGTTTAATAGAGGCGTAATTGATTAAAAGTGTGTTGAAATGAGATCGAATCAGTGCAGTGAGCACTATTAGTACTGATTTTTTTGCAGTGTTGAATGATTCAGGAAATGTGCACCGGTTATTAAGGTTTCTCCTCTATAATAGAAAAGTGAGACTTTTGAAGCATATTACTTCCAGGATTTTTCTAAATATAACTGTTCATGGAGGGGAAAAATAAAATAAAATAAAATAAAACAACTCCTCCACTTATCTGCAGCCAAGCCTTATTACAAGCACTAACAGGCTGGTGTTGGCATATGCATTTGAGTACCTTTGAAGAAGGCACATAGCCAGGTTGTCAGTCTGTTAGTGGCTTCAAAAACCCCAGAATAAAACTGATATATCTTCTACAGAAACCCAGTGGACACAGATTTTTTGTTGCAAATTTTAATTAGTATGACTGTCCCTTTGAGCTCTACAGCCCCCTTAACCGAAACAAAAAACTGAGCAGAACACCATGGTGCTGAGGTGTTTTATGTAATATTCCCAGCAGTTGGTCAGTTTTACACCTGTGAGCAGAGATTTTACACCCTGACTGGATGTCACAATCCATGAAATTATTCATTTTATATTCAAAAAAAAAAAAGATGCAAAAACCAATATGGTGAATTTGTTTCTCTACTAAAGAGCCAAATAGCTGTGACTAATCTATGTCTGCAATGGTAGCCCGCTGTGGTATTAACAGTACAGCGGTTGTGGCAACCTACAGGCAGTACAAGCCTGAAGCACCATGTACTGTAAGATTGTCTTTATGTTGTAACTACAAGTATTTCCCCCACTCATCACCACACTGCCATAATTTATTAGTGTGGGTTTTTCAAGAATGTCCTCAGGGGCTTTAGTCCAGCCGCAGTGCAGCATCTTATTAAAAAAAAGTGATATGTCTTTAAAAGTGCAGTCAGTCAGCAGAGCCAAAATGGAAGTGGAAGTGTAAAAGGTATAAGCTTTATACTGTCCTCCTTTAGGTCTGGACAGATTCAAACTTAGCCACTTCAGCACATTCTCATAAATATGGCTCTAACACGACACCCATTGATTCCCTTTGCCATCCAGGGTATAGTTTTTGAAGACAGCATGTACAGCATATGTGTGACAGAAAGAGAAACAGAGAGGGATTTGCACATTAAAAGAAAGAATAAAGAAAAGACAAGAGATGGCCAGTCTTTGCTCCTCCATCCTCTAAATTCCTCAGACATAATTCAGGTGGAGCTCTAAGTGTGTTTGGATAGACACCTCGCCTGCCCCGGGGAGACAGAAAGCAATCCAGAGAAAATTGGAAAATCAATTTTGACACATCAAAATCAGTTAGATTTTACCTCTAGTGCTTTCTCTGAGGTGTAAAATCCTGTCTTGATATGCACATTTATTCCACTGCTCTGTTTTTTTTTCTCACTTTTCTTTAGACACGTCTCCCCTCACTGTTTTATATTACTCTGACAGACGACACTGTTGGATCAATGGCAGACTGTAATTTTTGACAGCTAATATTGCTGCTGGGATGAAGCCATTTTCCTAAGTCTGAAAGAACAGTGTGTTAGAATTAGTGTTCATATCTTTCTTTGGATACATATGGAAACTTGTGAGCTGTGGGTGTACAGTGTCCTAACACTTTTACCACACAGTCAGGGGGTCAGAAAAGTCAATAGAGGAAGCCAAAGGTTTCTAGTCTTTAACTTGATGTTTCTGATTAAGGTCTTAACAGGGAATGAATTTGACTTGTAATGATAAAGAGGAGGGCAGCACGGTGGCGCGGTGGTTAGCGCTGTTGCCTCACAGTGAGTAGGTTCCGCGTTCCGACCCGGGGCTTTTCTGTGCGGAGTTTGCATGTTTTCCCAGTGCTTGCGTTGGTTCTCTCCATGTGATCCGGCTTCCTCCCACAGTCCAAAGACATTTAGCATCGGTTGATTGGTGTCTTTAAATTGGGACAGTCCATCACAGGGCTAACAGCAACCTGTCCAGGGTGTCCCCTGCCTCTTGGTATAGAAAATGGCTGGATGATAAAGAGGACATAACAAGTTGAAATCTTTCAGCAGTATTAATAAGCATGTTCCACCCTCTTTGGCCTATGCAAAAGCAAGCATGTAGCAGCTTGATAGAGGCAGTGTGTTAGGTAATGTTTCTGAAAAAAGATAAGGAATTAAGATTTGTTCTTGTGTTCAAGTATGTGTGTTGGCAAGAGAAACCTCTTCAAACTTAATTTAAAATCAGCTGCTTGAAGAAAACTAAACATTCATGCAGATGATTTTCAGTGAGGAACTTGCATCTTATAGTCCGGAAGCATCGTCCTGCTCACTGAAGAAAACTGATCTGAGCTGGCTGATTTATCAGTGTAACCCTAGTTTCCTCAGTCAACTGTTCTTTCATGTACCACCTCCCAGTGCTGCAGCCTGATGACACTACATCCTGTTCAGAGGCTTGTGAACTGTGGGAGCAAAGATGAGAATCAGAAAAGAAATGATGACAGCTGGGAAGATGTAGGATTTCAGGCAGGGGGCACAGTAAATTTCCCTTTAGTCTACAAAATAACAAGCCTCCTCTGAATGTGATCCACTCAAGTGATGCATTTGCGGTGGCATGAAAATGTAAGTGAACCCTTTGAAATTAACTGCATTTATTTATAAAATTGTCTTAAACTATGGTCAGATATTCATCTAAGTTACAATAATGCACAAATAATTTGAACTAATAACACACAAATCACTGACTTGTTCTTGTCCATTCTGAAAACATCATTAGAACATTCACAGTGTAAGTTGGAAAAATATGTGAAATCACTGGTCAACATCTCTGTTCATGACCATATGTAAATCGTTGTGCATGGTCGCATACGGTGCCTGATGCCCGTGGCAGGACACCGCTACTGAAGCTGCTGGACTCCACAAAGAACAACACTGTGCAGCTGAGGTTTGCTAAACACCACCTCGACACTCCACCAACACTACTGGGAAAATGTTTCACGGTCTGATGAAACCAAGGTTCAACTGTCTGGGAAGAACACACAGCACTACATACAGTGTAAAAAGGGCATTGCACACCAACATGAAACCATCATCCCAAAGGTGAAGTAGGGCGGAGGGGGCATCATGGTTTGCAGCTGGACTGCTGCTTCTGGGCCAGGACAGCTTGTCATCATTGAGAAGAAAATGGATTCCTAAGTTTAACATTGTATAGACATAAAGTCACGGTGGCAGTCTGTCAGTTGGAACTCAATAAAAGTTGGGTGATGCAGCAGGACAACGATCCTAAATATCAAAATAAATCTAGAACAAAAAATCTTCAACCAAAGAAAATTCACATTTTAGAATGTCCCCATCAGACCCCAGACCTTATCCCCACAGCATAGAATGACAACAAAAGAGCGTTCACACCAGCCATTCATGAAAGATTATCACAGTTTGTGTGTTACTAGCTTAAAGGAACTTTACCAAATGTCTTCTCAGCTGCTAGAGGGTCTAGTGAAAATCAAACTCACACAATAAAGGACTCCTTATTGCTCTCTGCTCCTCCTGTCTTGTTTGCTGAAACAATGCTGTGAACTACAGATGCCTGGTTGCAACAAATTTTACAAAAACCAGCCTGCAGTTCAAAGTTAGCAGTTGCTGACTGACGAGTCCTGGCTCTGCAGAGGTATTGCAGTGAAATAGCTTAAACTATCAAGGTTGACAGTTCAGTGATTTATGATAGTTTAGACAGTATATATGGCTAATATCATTTATCAAGGATATATTTAAGCTAAGCTAATTCACCTTTTAGGTTGCATCATGATGTAGACAGGGATGTCACAGGATGGATGAAAGTCGGTGCCCATCAAAGGAAGGCAGAGTTTGTGTTGTATTTATTTGGAGCAGGTTGAATGAGGCCAGTGAGGGCCCTTCAGTCTTTTAGTTGCCGAAAGGTCCTCCATGACTGCGTGAAATGTCTGTAGAAAACCAGGTACTTTCAAGGATTCACATACTGTACAGTACCTTTCCTTGCCACTGTGTATTAGGTAACTTGTAATGAACATG